TGTACAGGGGATAAGCTGGGGTTTTTCAGGGAGCCCTATATGGTGCATCCTCCCTTATTTTCTTTCCTCAATCTATGCAAGCGGCTCTGGCCGCCATCATCTCCTGGGATGCCAGAGGGCTGCCACACCAGCTCTTGGGCCCAGGGCTGTAAAGCCTCCTAGAGGAAGGGGACACTCGAGTTCTCTGGCATGGCCTGAGGTGGGTGTGTGCTTGGGGTGGGGAGAACTCATTGCCATTTGGAGCTTGGTAAGGAGGGTGGGCCTAGGGCTTGGAAAATGCCACTTTTGGCAGGTTTGGAAATTTCCAAATAAATCCTTGTTTATTGGTGGTACCCAGACCTGGTCACTGAATAGTGCGGCCGCTCATGAACAGACTGAAGTCCTACAGGGCTCGTCCTGCAGAGCTTTATTTGAGGGATCCACATAAGGAACATAACCTCACTTCCATAGCTTCTTGATGGACATGTTTTTCTCACTATCCTTCTGCATGACCTACAGAGAGAGAAAACATTAAGTTACAAACTGGGTGAACACAGGACCTATCCCCACTGCTCTAGAACTACCGTCAGCAAAGGCAGAAAAGATGGAGACCTGTACCTTGGCTACTGCCATCTCAAAATCCTCCTGGGTGACGTGGACTCGCCGCTCCCGCAGAGCATACATGCCGGCTTCGGTGCACACACCCTGAGCAGGGAGAGGAAGACAGGCTGTTGCTGTGCCCTTGAACCCAGAGCTTCCTGCCTCTGCCCCCTTTTCCTTGGGCACTCCAATTACCTTCACTTCAGCCCCTGATGCTCCTGGCATGAGCTCAGCAATTTTTCTCAGGTTGATCCCCCGGGTCAGGTTCATTTTTCGAGAATGGATCTTCAAAATGTCCAGTCGAGCCTAGAAATGAGAAGAAAAGCCTGAGCCCCACTGCCTACACCCACAGCCAGAGCCACTCCCATCACTGCCCATCACAAACCTCCTCATTAGGGGGTGGGAATTCAATTTTTCTGTCGATGCGCCCTGGGCGAAGCAAAGCTGAGTCCAGGATATCAATCCTATTAGTAGCCATGATAACCTGAGTGGAGAAGGGATGTGGCATCAGGTAGGCCCCTCCCCAGGCTACACCTCACCCAGGGCCTTCCCTTGGCTCATTCCACAGCAAACACCATCTTACCTTGATATTCTTGGTGGCCTCAAAGCCATCCAGCTGGTTGAGCAGCTCCAGCATGGTGCGCTGCACCTCACTGTCCCCTCCAGAACCCCCCTCCAGCCGTGAGGAGCCAATAGAGTCGATTTCGTCCATGAAGATGATAGATGGAGCGTGTTCTCGTGCCATGACAAACAGCTCCCTCACCATTCTTGCCCCTGTGCCAAGGACAAGCTGGCATTAGGAGCTGATGAGTTCCCTACCCTCACCTCTACCCCCTCAGTTTTGCTTGGTTTTCATTTTTTAGCCACAGTTACCTTCCCCGATGAATTTCTGTACCAATTCAGAGCCAGAGACACGAATAAAGGTACAGTCTGTATGATGAGCCACAGCGCGGGCCAATAGTGTCTTCCCAGTGCCTGGGGGTCCATACAGCAGAACTCCCTAGAGATAAACAGCAGGACTCAGGGCAGAAGGCCAGCCCCACGTCTCATTCAGTGAACATTTACTGAGTGCTTACTCTGTGCCAGATCCCATACTAGATGCTTAGGCATAGAAAAGAATGAACATCAGTGTTCCTTCTGGAGCTTGTATCCAAATTGCCTCAGTGCCCTGGTAGCATCTCTCCCCCAAGCTCTCTTCAGTGGGGAGGGACAAGCTGGCCACCAAGTCACCAACCTCACCTAGGGAGACCCATAAGTCCTAGAATAATGTGACAGAATGAGTCTTTGAAAGGCTACACACAAAGGAAAACAAGCTGGCCCTCCCTAATCCCTGCACTCAGTTTGGCCTCAGACAGGAGACACAGCATGGCCCTCCCACAGAAGCCCTGCTTCTCACCTTGGGCTGTGCAATGCCCAGTGCTTCAAAGAGTTCAGGATGCTTAACAGGCAGCTCAATGACTTCTTTGATCTCCTTGATCTGCTTGTCCAGTCCACCAATCATCTCATAAGTTGAGTCTGGCACCTTCTCCACCATCATCAGTGACACCAGAGGGTCTACCTTGTTGGGCAGGATCTTGTGCAGAGTGTAGCTGTCATTTCTTAGAGCCACTCGGCAATTGGGTGTCACCTGGGAGAGGGGAGAGACTTTCAGGAAACCGCGTGGTGAAAACTGACCCCAAGCTCCCACCTCACCTGCTGCACTCACATCATTGATGTCGATGTTCTTGTCCACATCTACCACGAACTTGCCCTCAGGGTGTACCTAAAGAAACAGGGCTCATGACTTTTTCTGACAGCCACCAAATCACCAACCTCACCCAGGGAGACCCGTAAGTCCTAGAAGAATGTGACAGAATGATGTCCTTGCAAGGCGACACACAAAGGTATGGGAATGCAGTGGATGGTCCCCGGGGTCATGCTACCTTTACCTTAACCAACACTTTCTTCTTATCCATGGCCCGAACTACTTCCCCCACATAGGAGCCCTGTTCCTGCAGCAGCTGTAGCTCCTCCCGCAACAGGCGAACTAGATGGGAAATAGACAGAGTGGTAACCCAGCTTCTTTGTTGTTCTCTCTCCCACAACTCAATTCAATATACATGAACTAAGCATCATTTTGAAGTTTTGAAGGGAAAGCCACAAAAAGAAAGTAAAAAAATTCATGTCTTTAAGGGGGTTACAACGGGGCTTGGAAGAGATGTGCACGTGAACAACTATATACCAGTGTAAAGCATCACTGTGGACTGGGAGAAAACAAAAGCATCAATGTGAAGACAATTCAGGGAGATCTGAGCAGTCAGACCTCAGACCAACTGCCCACATGCAGCCCCCTCCCCTCCTGTCCCTTCCCCTCCTCNTTCAGGGAGATCTGAGCAGTCAGACCTCAGACCAACTGCCCACATGCAGCCCCCTCCCCTCCTCGTCCCTCCCCTTTTTTTTTTAAGTTAATCCTCACCCAAGGGTATTTTTTCCCCACTGATTTTTAGAGAGTGGAAGGGGGGGTTAGAGGGGGAGAGAGAGAGACATGGACTGGCTGCCTCCCACACGCGCCCCAATCAGGCGAGGGATTGAACCTGCAACCAAGGCATGTGCCCTTGACTGGGAATTGAACTTGTGGCCCTTTGGTGCAGAGGCTGATGCTCTAACCAATGAGTGACACCAGCCAGGGCTGCCCCCTCACCTTTTGCATTAAGCTCATTCCTCTGTGCCTGCAGCCTCCGGAGATTTTGGCTCTTATCATTCACAATCAGCTATGGAGAACAAGAAATTTCAAAGGGCAGAAAACAGTAGGAGGTCAAGATCTTGGCCAAGACCCTCAGGCTCCTATGAATTGAGGGAAGAGCACAAGCAGCTGCATGTTGTTTCAGATTCTTCATTATGATCCTAATGACCCTGTCCTGTCCTCCGACAGTCCCTCTGGAGCTTAGGACAGCCATCAAAAAAGGCTACTTGTCTCTAAGGGAGAGACGTTACAGCTCATATAGTCAATTTCTTGCAGGGCAGCATATCAACATGCTAGAGTGGAAAGATCTTTGACTTGGAAGCTTAAGTTCTAGCCCTCCTGCCGCCAATTAACAGCTAGGTAAAACCATTTAAAAGGTCTAGTTCTATTACCAAACAGCAAGTGGGCATAGCATCACCTACACCTTGCCTCTTTTCGGGACTGTTGTGAGGAACAAATAAAATCACACATAAGTGCATTTCAAAAATGATAAGCCATATACAATATCTGCAAATATACATGGAGTTCAGAAATTTTCCCTATGGCTTCCCTCCATCCAATTTATATTAGTTATTTTCCTTACTTCTATCGTCCGTGGGTCGCCAATTCCTTCTCACTCAGCCCCATTGTCCAGACTCAATTTTGTGTTCCCTTGCACTCTCGGTCTGCCCAAAACCCTGTCTGATAAACCTGCGCTCCTGAGCCTGTGTCCTCCCTTTTATATGAAACCCGATCAGACTTCTTCCAAAAGAAAGAGCCCATTCTGTCTGACTCTTCAAGATGTGTAACAAACTATTACTTCTTCCACTGCGCTCCAGTGGAATTTTATGGATTCACAGAAATCGTCAATCCTTCACCCCCCTTCTAGCTCCCTCTGGACCGCGGGAGTCCGTCCTCACCTGGAGTTCTTCGATCTTGGACAGATAATACTGGCGCAGTCCACTGCCTGCCTTCCCCTCTTCCAGCTCCATCTGAAGACACAGTGCAATTGTTAAACAACAGGCTAAACATCCAAGGGAGCAAGCCACTTCCAGCTTGGATGGAGGTTTAAGATTTGGATTCTAATCCCTTACTGCACTTCAGAACACTCCACTTTCCCCTGACTAAACTGAGAATGCCGCCTACCTCATAAGATTCGAAATGACCAAGAGACGACATGCACCGGAGCACTTTGTACCGAGTCAGGCGCTATACAGGCCCGGGGTGTCACTACCACAGGACGAGCCAGGAGGAAGGACGGGTTTCCTGTGTCCCGCGACTCGCGGAGGAGCCCGTTCCCGCTCCCACCGCCCCTCTCACTCCGCCTCCACCGCGTCCTCCTCTCCCAGCCCAGCCCTGACCCACCGGGGGCTGAGCTGACACAGCAGATCCGGTCCCAGGTAGGGCCCAGTCTGGATTGGTCCACCCACCCCCAACCCACCCCTGACCCACCTCGGGGCATGCCTGCTCCGCACCAAGCCCCGGCCTCCGCCCGACCACCACTGCCGCCGCCGCCGCCGCCGCCGCTTCCGTACCTGCTCTGGTCCATCGACCGCCATTTTCCCCCGCAGCGAAGCCCGCCGGCCTCCTAGCAGCCTCGGCGCGCAGGCGCAGAAGCAGGGACTTGGAGCCCGATGACCCGGGCAGAGAAGAGTTCCGGGTCAGTGGGCGGGGTGTGCGTAGAGGTGATAACAAATAAAAGGGGCCGTGATGGGACCGAGGGTGGGGGGTGCTACGTGAGACCAGGAGCTTTGGGAGAGCACAGAATTAAACGTTTCTAGACGCTGGGTTTTAGTTCAAGTAGTCTACTCTCTTGGTCCCAGCCTACAACTTATAAAGCCTGGCGACGGAGTATAAACATTTTTTTCTGGCCACGCTCCAAATGACGGGAAACTTTCAGCCGGGGACGCGTAGGTGACGCAAGCGGAAGCGGAAGTACGTTTGCTGCCTCCATGTGCTACTCCAACAGTGGTGGAAACGGTGCTCGGTGGTGGTGAGTGGTGTGGGGCAGGGCGTTGAGTATGATTGCTGCGGAGGTCGGGGAACGGAAAGGGAATCTAGTGTTCCGAGAAGAGACGTTTCAGTTTCTACTTTCTCCCTAGATTGAGTGACACTCCCCCTTCCACCATGGGCAAGAAGGGCAAAGTCGGGAAGAGCAGGCGGGACAAGTTCTATCACTTGGCGAAGGAGACTGGTGAGTTAGGGTTCGCGCCTTCCACGAGCTAGAGGAGCGACTTTGTCGGGTTCGCCCTCCTTTTCGAATATTGAGTTTCTCTCCCAGAAGAGGTAGTGGGTTGTGAGGCCTCAGAAATCCCGCCGGGAAAGCACTTCGTGGACTTCATTATTTTGCCGACGCCCCCAGGTTATCGTTCCCGCTCTGCTTTCAAGCTGATCCAGTTGAATCGTCGCTTTCAATTCCTGCAGAAAGCCCGAGCCTTGCTGGATCTGTGTGCTGCGCCAGGGGGATGGTGCGTAACAACCGGCGTCTGTCGCTCCTGACGGCTGGTTTCTGGGTTCCATCCGGCCTGGGATGACAGAGTTCCATTGGAGGAGAGAGGAATACAGTAATATCAGCCTCAATATCTCTACTCTCCAGAACATACACTGGAGAGAAGAGGTTTGGAACGTGTACATAGGGCATGTTCTGGCCACTGCACTTGGCAGGGCTCCTTCTAACGGGGATGGTAACAGGGACAGATCCTATTGCCAAGGGAGGGGAATGGACAGTCCTGGGTATTTTAATATTATTCTTTTATAGGTTGCAGGTGGCTGCCAAGTTTATGCCTGTATCAAGTCTTATTGTGGGTGAGTGACAGGTGGCCCTCCCAGGTGTTTTAGGGGTGGGAGTATGAGATATTGTGCTCTACATTTCCTTTCTTAGTGCTTGAGGCAACCTTTTGGAATACTCTGACCTGATTTCTTCCAGGGGTCGACCTGGTTCCAATCAAGCCTCTTCCCAATGTGGTGACACTCCAAGAGGACATCACAACAGAACGCTGTAGGCAGGTGATAGGAATCTCTCTTTCTATCCCCTTTATATGCAAACATCCGTTTCCATGCCTCTTCCCACCCAAGTCTTCTGAAGGCGAGATATTTCCTGTTTACCATGCCTTGAGCAGTGCCTGCATGTCTGTATGCCTGAGCTATGCCTCATGTCCACTCCAGCTTTGATCAGGAATGAGGTGTTTGGAATTGGAGGAAGTGCAGGAATTTCAGTGAAATCCTTTTCAGGGGGCTCACTAGTAGACTGTAAGCTCCATGAAGACAGACATGTTATTGTTTATCGTTATATCCCGTGCCAGACACAGTATTTGGCCCCTGATGGGCACTCAACAAATGACTGGACAGATGGCTGAAGCAGTGACCCCCATCTGTAGCCATTCCTTTGCTTCTGTTGCTATAATCCCTTTTCTTCTTTGTAGGCCTTGAGGAAGGAGCTGAAGACCTGGAAAGTTGACGTTGTACTCAATGATGGGGCCCCCAATGTTGGGGCTAGCTGGGTCCATGATGCTTACTCACAAGGTGCTATAGTGGCGAGGAGATGAGGGTGGAGGTGGGCATGCATGCCTTGTCAGGCTGCATTGGCCCTAAGCTAATCCTCTCTCCTCACAGCCCATTTGACACTGATGGCTCTGCGTTTGGCTTGTGATTTTCTGGCCCGTGGTGGCTGCTTCATCACGAAGGTTTTCCGTTCCCGTGACTATCAGCCCCTGCTATGGATTTTCCAGCAGCTCTTCCGCCATGTCCAGGCCACCAAGCCCCAGGCCTCTCGCCATGAATCTGCAGAGATCTTTGTAGTCTGCCAGGGTAGGTGGGCATCACTTCCTTCTTTCTCTTGACTCGTCTTTCAAGTACCAAAGCACACTTTTTTTTTTACACTTTCTTATATACCCTATCATCTTAGGATACCTGGCTCCTGACAAGGTTGACAATAAATTCTTTGATCCCAAATTTGCATTCAAGGAGGTTGAAGTTCAGGCCAAGACTGTTACTGAGTTGGTGACTAAGAAGAAACCAAAGGTGTGTTTGAGGAATGTGGCCACCTTCAGGTCCTGGAACTCGGGAGATGGGGCCTGATGGGTCCTATAGACACCCCAGAAAGAACTGCTCAACCTTCTTTATTTCCCTCCCTAAGGCTGAAGGCTATGCTGAGGGCGACCTCACGCTCTATCACCGTACCTCAGTCACTGACTTCCTCCGAGCTGCCAACCCTGTTGACTTCCTCTCCAAAGCCAGTGAAGTGAGTCCCCAGACTTCAGGGGTGTGGAAGGAAACCCCAGAAACATGGCCTGAGAGTTTCCCAACTCCTTTCCCTCTTCCCAAACAGATCGTGCTAGATGATGATGAGTTGGCACAGCATCCAGCTACCACTGAGGACATACGGGTGTGCTGTCAGGATATCAAAGTGCTGGGGCGCAAGGAGCTTAGGTATGCCTCGTGGGTGGGGGTAGGTGCCAGGAGCCCCAAACGCAGGGAAAGGCCTTTGAAGGCCATGACATTGATCTCTGGAGGTTGCTGCTGTGCTAGAGGTCTGGGCTGGGGACCTGAGCCCTAGGATTTGTAACTCAAATGTGAAAGTTGGAGTGTGGGCCTAAAATAAGAGGTGGCGGGGACAGAGGGAGACAGTACAATCAGTAATGGTATTTCTGGGACAGGTCCCTACTGAACTGGAGAACGAAGCTTCGGCGATATGTGGCCAAGAAGCTGAAAGAGCAAGCAAAGGCATTGGACATCAGGTGAGGAGGGAACTAAAGCATGGTAGGTATTGACTTGGTGTTGGGGGGAAGTGCCTGGGAAATTACCAAACTTTTGGACTGTTTTGTCAGCCTCAGCTCAGGAGAAGAGGAGGAAGGTGATGAGGAGGAGTCAACAGCTGGGACCACGAGGCAGCTCTCTAAGGAGGAGGAAGAGGAGGAACAATTGAATCGGACCCTGGCAGAGATGAAGGCCCAGGAGGTGGCTGAATTAAAGAGGTGAGGACAGCAGGAGAGGAGCTTGGGGGACCCCCCCCCCAAGTTCCTTAGTGTGTGGGGCTGGAGGCAGAGAATGAAGGAATGGATGGGGAATCTTCAGAGCTGGGCAGGTATAATTCCTCAAACTGTCCCCTCAGGAAGAAAAGGAAACTGCTTCGTGAGCAGAGAAAGCAGCGGGAGCGTGTGGAGCTGAAGATGGATCTTCCCGGGGTTTCCATCGCAGATGACGGGGAAACAGGCATGTTCTCCCTGCGTACCATTCGGGGTCACCAGGTAAGGCGGGGTTGGTGCAGATTGAGGAGGAGGATCTGTTTGGGTATTTAGGAGGGTGGGGATTGAATGTCTTTTTCTTAAGTGTGCTGCATGATCATCGCTAATGGTTGCTGTGTCCACCCATAAATATGACCACTGAGGGGAGACTGGGAATAAAACAAGAGCCTCATGTCTCAAAGGCCAGGAAGGAACATAAACCTCATGTGATGAAATTAAGACTTGTGTGATTGGTACAGACTTGTTCTTACAGAACTGTAAGAGTATTATGTGTATTTGTATAGTATATAATACATAAGAAGAACCAAGAGGCACCCTCTCCAAGAAGCTAGACTCTAGTAGATGCAGCCAGGGTACCTGGGTGACCAGCAGAGGTGATGGAGGGTTCCCTGAGAGGGGATTCCTCAGTTCACTGAGACCAAGTTAGCACCTTGGTGCACTTGGCTACTGAATGGTGCTTTTACTTAATTTTTTAAATAAAAGCAATGTCACAAGCAAAATGAGCTTTTGTGGCTTTTGTGTGGGAATGGGAACCGAGGTCCTCTTGTACAGGAGAGTATAGTGGTCCTGGAGCAGACTACCACTTACCCATGTTTTGCCTCAGTTCCCTCATCTGTAAGAGTAATAGAACCTATCTACTAGGGTTTGGGGAAGGAATTTTTTAAAATGTATGTTGCCTGGGCTCGTTTATTCACTGGAAACAAAATTTGTAGATTGTATTATTCTCAGGTGATGAGAAACTGAGTAATTTTTTAAAGAAAAAACAGTGTTTTAGAATGTTTTAAGATTGATGCTTGATAGGCTGTGGGTACTTTTCCATAAACCTATTTCTGCTACCACTGAGGATGAGGCAGCCAAGTGGGACAGGCGAGGGACCTGCCCTAGAATGGGATGTTTTCGACAGCGTCATCACTTCTGTCTGTAAAGGGAGATAATGTGTTTGCCACAGTGTATTTCCTAATGTTGCTGAGGATAAACTAAGAAAATGGACACAGAAAAAAAGCAGTATGTTCTTTTAAGTACCCTCGATCCCTGTTTCTGTCAAACTTTAGTTGTTAGAGGAGGTAACACAAGGGGATATGAGTGCTGCAGACATGTTTCTGTCCGATCTGCCAAGAGATGACATCTACGTGTCAGATGGTGAGGATGACGACGATGCATCTCTGGATAGTGAACTGGATCCAGAGGAGCTTGCAGGAGTCAGAGGACCTCAGAGTCTAAAGGACCAAAAGCGGTAAGGTGGGGGCTGTGTGTGCAGGAGGAGGTACTGCCAGAGGGGTTGGTGGGGCATTGTCCAGGCTGCTGACCCTCCACCCACCTTCCTTGGGTCTACAGTGTGCGATTTGCTAAAGCAGATGATAAAGAGGAGGAGGAGGAGAACCCACTGCTGGTGCCACTGGAGGAGAAGGCGGTCCTACAGGAAGAACAGGCCAGCCTGTGGTTCTCAAAGGTGAGAGGCGGCTGGGGCCAAGGCACAGGGAATACCTCCCCGGAGAAGGATGGCTGATTTCCCCTATCACAGGACGGCTTCAGCGGGATTGAGGATGCTGCTGACGAGGCTCTGGAGATCAGTCAGGCCCAGCTGCTGCATGAGAGCCGCCGGAAGGGGCAGTTGCAGCCACCACCACCTTCCAGTTTGAAGACTGAGAGAAAACCTTCCCGGGGCCAGGATGAAGCCCCTAAGGAGATAGAGGCTCCATCAGGGACAGAGGCTGCCACTGGCCCTGGAGGGGGAGAGAGAGATGACAGCTCAGACAGTGATAGCAGCAGTGAGGATGAAGAGAGGTGAGTGGTTGCAGTTAATGGGAGAAGGGATGAAGAGGAAGCAGTGGTTCTAACCATTTCTCCAGGTTGGGGTTTTCAGCCTTGGCTGTAGATTGAGAGCTTTAAAAGTGATTATTCTGATTTAAGTGGTCTGCAGTACAGCCCATGGCAGGATTTCCAGAAGTTAGCCAAGGAGTCTTAAATAGGAACCAGGGTTACAGTGAGGTTACAGTGACCTAATTGGTGTGGGGAATGGTGGGGCATTCACACATGGTCCTCCCCCCTCCTGCAGCTGGGAACCACGCCACGGTAAGAAGCGAAGCCGTGGGCCTAAGTCAGATGATGATGGATTTGAGATAGTGCCTATTGAGGACCCAGGTGAGAGTGGGTCTGCACCCAGTAGAATGGGAGATCATGAAGTTTCAGGGTGGGAACTCATCTTGGACTTTTCTCCTCCCCCTCTAGTGAAACATCGGATACTGGACCCTGAAGGCCTTGCTTTAGGTGCCATTATTGCCTCTTCCAAAAAGGCCAAGAGAGACCTCATAGATAACTCCTTCAGCCGGTAAGGGGGCCAGAAAATCCTGAGAAGTGGCCCAGGTAGGGTAAGTGGTGGTTTCTTCTCTAGGAAGCCTGGAGTGGTCATTAGGGCTGTGTCCTCTCCACCTAGGTATACATTTAATGAGGATGAGGGGGAGCTTCCAGAGTGGTTTGTGCAGGAGGAAAAGCAGCACAGGATACGGCAATTGCCTATTGACAAGAAGGAGGTGGAACATTACCGGAAACGCTGGCGGGAAATCAATGCACGTCCCATCAAGAAAGTGGCTGAGGCTAAAGCCAGAAAGAAGCGAAGGGTAAGTAGTGAGGCTGCCTGAGGTGAGAGGTGGGTCGGGCAGGGGTGGGGAAGAGGTCAGCCTGACTGAGGGCCTCACACAGATGCTGAAGAAGCTGGAGCAAACTAAGAAGAAAGCAGAGGCTGTGGTGAACACTGTGGACATCTCAGAACGAGAGAAAGTGGCACAGCTTCGAAGGTGATGGGGGAAGTCACCCATAAAGGCACATGGGGGTTAAAAGGTGGCAGAAAGCCTTGAACCCGTTTCTTCTATTTACAGTCTCTACAAGAAGGCTGGGCTGGGCAAGGAAAAGCGCCAGGTCACCTACGTTGTAGCCAAAAAAGGTGTGGGCCGCAAAGTGCGTCGGCCAGCTGGAGTCAGAGGTCATTTCAAGGTGGTGGACTCAAGGATGAAGAAGGACCAAAGAGCACAGCAACGGAAAGAGAAGAAAAACAGGCGGAAGTGAGCAGAGCCTCCTGGGCCTCTGAGAAGGCAGTGTGTGGATGAGCGATCCTGTGTTACCAGCCTTTACATCGCAGTCACCTGAAAAGACAGTGAGGCAGGGTACCTGGATCTCTCATGGCAGTCCTGAGCGGTAAGGACACCCACTGCCTGAAGGAAGGTCTCCTGTTAAAGCACTGCTGAAATGTCCTGTTGGTGCTGTAACAGAACCCACAGCCCTTCCATGAAGGCGCAAGGTACTGGATGAAAAATTAAGTCATTAAAGTGTTGGGGTGGCATTCATTCTAGTCTATTCCTGGTCTCTCAAGTCTTCCCTTATCCTCTCCCATTATCATTTGAATAAAACCATGACTACACGTCTTTTCTGAGGGCTGCCATTAAGTGCTAACTTAAGTGCTGCACTGTTCTAAATCATTTAACATGTACTGACTCCTGAAGTAGAAATGACACAATCCACAGGTCCCAGTAAAACATTTACTAGAGCAAGCAGAAAGAATGCACATCTTAAAGAAACCTTCACAAAGTCACAAAATTTGATGTATATTTCTTTTATAAACAAGATAGAACAAAAATCATCAAAATCATTTGAGCAAAAGATTTTTCTACCATTGTGGCAAGTTAAAAAAAAAAATAGAAGACAGTTAAAAGCTGTTGGGGTTTTGTTTTTTAAATTCAGCAACATTTCAGACCTGGAGCCATCCTGTTTTTTAGGACCATCTTTCCTTCTTTGATAGTAGTGGCTCTGGGTCAGGCAGGCTTCTTCCTGTCTCAGGGCTGGATACAAACCTGGCTGGGGAACCTAAGCATTTACTCCCACTTAGAATCAAACATCCCCCCTCCTCTGCAAATATCTGGAAGCACTTTCGTGATCCCAAACATCCCTAACACCTCAAAGGACTGGGTTTGCAAAAGCCAACTCCTAAAAGGGACTGCCTGGCCACAAAAAAAATTTTACTTGTAGATGTTTGTAAGATGATAGTAAAAAATATACACTATATATGATACAAACCTAGAGTGAGTTTTGTACCCTATAAGGCCCTCATGCCAAACCCAGAGCCAAAAGGAGCTTCCCAGCTCTCACTGCTTCTGAGGATCAAAGCAGCCCCAAGAAAATCTGAAAAACTATTCAGACGAAGGGGTAGGATAATGTCTCCAAGTGCCAGCTATCCACTAAGGGCAGGAGGTCCTTACACCTTGGGCCCCAACCCAGCCCTGAGACACCTACTTACCAAAAATCTTTCTAAAAATAAAATTAAAGGATTTCACGCTTCAGCACATACCATCTAACTGTCCCACCGACTTTTCTTGCGCTTGGGTGGCTCGGGGACTGCGAAACCATCAGCTGTCTTATCTGTCTTGCTGTCCATCTTGTCGATCTTGCTGCTATCCACCTTGGGGTCCATCTTGTTCTCACGGTTACAACCTTCTTTCCTGCTTTCACCATTCCGGCCATCATTTGCACCTCGGCTCTCCCCATGTCGGCCTCCACCTCCTCCATGCCTGTTCTCCCCATGACGATGGCTATCAGCATGACGGCTGCTGCTTTCCGGATAGCGGTATCCATCTCCATGGCGACCACTGTCTCCATGACGTGGGCTATCACCATGCCGATTGCCACTGCCACTCTCTCCATGGCTATGGCGGCTGCCACCCCGGTTCTCAGTGTATCTCTCTCTTTTCCCATTGTTACCCCCAATCCCTTCTCGGCTGTTATTCCCTGAAGCTGAGTTGACTCCCTGGGCTCCGGCAGTGGGGTAGGTCACTGGTGCACTGCTGATGTTCCCAGTATTGCCAAAGCCTGGAATGCCCTTGGTGGCACTGGCAACAGGGCTGTCAGGACTGTTAAGGCCCTGCTGGGCTGAATTAGTTGGAACAGAATTCAAGCTCCCTGCACTTGTCCATCCACTTGCCCCAGCAGCAGAACTCCCAGCCTTCTGGTTGCTTAAGCTGGCGGCAACGAAGTGACTCTTGTACTGTGACTGAAAGAGAGAAAATGAAAATAGGTAAGATGGTGAGTTCAAGAAACCTGTATAATAAGCTTGGCAATGATAAAGCATATAGGAACTTGGCTGCTCACACACAAGATAATATGCTATCTTGGCACTGTAACTTTAGCATCCTAACAGCCCTACAATCCTGTGATTTCTCATCAGTCTGGAGATGGATAAAATGTGTAAATTAAGGCCAACTAGCTGGAGGGGTAAATGTAAAAAAAAGATTGAGTTCACAAGATACAGAATCAAATTTGTCTTAGCTAAAAAACGGCAATTACTGTCAACCAGGTTGCAATAGCCTTGGAAGTGGGCAATACCATAGGCCGATAAGGCAGGGAGGGAATAGCAATCCTGCTGCAGTACCACAGGTAGATGACCAACAAGAGGGGTTTCTGTAGCCTCTACACCTGCATCTCTAGGTCAGCTACAGTTAGGTTTATATTCAAAATGGAAAGCAGTGAGAAGGCCCTAAATCCAGCATCAAGCCTACAAGCCCAGCTACATCTCAAGACTAGGCCCCCTTGACACTGCCCAAGAGTTAACTGCTGAAGGAAGCTCTTTTAGCTAAATGTGATCTCAGACCTGGAAAGCTGCTTTCATTGCCGTCAGCCGATCTCCCATGGCTCCTGTGGAAGGCTTGTAGGCCTCATAGTTGCTCATTACATTGTTGTTATTTCCTCGGTCCTAAAAAATAAGCACACCCATGAGGATGGACGCAAAGCAGGAAAGCCCCCTGCTATAGACTGGGTCTCAACATACTGAAAACTGAAGAGAGAATGGGGACAGGATATTTTTAGAAAGTTACTTGTTTTGTGAGAAAAGGTGTGGTAATGAATATATTGAGAAATGTGATGCCTTTCAACTAGTATTTCTATTTCTGGGAATTAATCCTAATAATCAGAAATGAGGTCAGATTATGCTCAAAGGTGATTATGTGGCACTATTTATAAACACCAACACGAGCGTCTTTGTGTAATTATGTAAAAATTGTAGTAAGAACGAAAAGGCCACAGGCAGTATAGCACATGCTTGACTGCTCATCACTCACCAGTATGTAATTTTGGGTGTCTCAGCTTTATTATCTGTACTCACTCTCATTGAGTGATTGAAAGACTGAGTTAATTAATACCCATGCCTGCTTGGAATGGCCCTGGCACATAGTGAGTGCTCAATATTAGCTATGGCTCTCATCCGCATCATTCACATCATCATTACTATAATGTGGGAACAGGTTATTTATTTATCAAAGACACCAAGTTAACTACAATGCTCCAGAAATGAAGACTTGGCTTACGGATCAGAATAACAGGAAACAGGTAGTTAAGACAGTCAGAGGGAGCTTTTGTTACATGATTTGTGAGAAAAGCTCTCTCTCATCGCTCTGATGAAATTTCTGAGTACAGGAATCATTCCTGAGTTTAGTTACAAGATATTGCTAGAGTTTACACAGTGATTCTGTGGCAATGTCTTTCTGACAGCAGGCTCTATCTAGGCCAGTGTTGGAAAACAGGCTGCTGGGCCCCACCTGCAGAGTTTCTGATTTATCAAGTCTGGTGGGGCACAAGTCTGCATTTGCTGCTAGTCCAGGAACCACAATTTGAGAACCACTGCTAACCTAGACTGATTTCCTGAGCATGTCTAGTCAACCACGTACACATCGGTGCTTCTTCAAAAGAAGTCACAATACTAAGAACCAGCATTAATACGGAACTAAGCCAGCAAATTAAACACAAGCTTCCTTCTCGACAGGGTTCTGAACACACTGAGGTTTTCTCAGGTAGAGGAGAATAGTCCTCACATCACCCAGGACTTGGGACCAGCCTTAAGGGCCCTCCTGTAGTATGGACTCACCGTGTTCTCAGAGCCTAGGCCCGGCCGCTCCCTGTAGCCTAGGCCGCCTCCACCGATGTTCAGCTTCTTGCCTTTCCCTCCTTTGAAGCGGGACTTCCGAAACCAGGCATTCTGCGCAGAACACAGCTCAAGGTGAAGCCAGGATAGGGAGAGGGGGCCAGAAGAAGAGTGCAAGATCAAAGACGAAAGTAAGTGGGAGGGGAGAGCTCTTTGCTTCATCTTTAGCCAACGTACTTATGGCAACGGAGAAACTGTTCACAAGAACCACAGATTCACTTCCTTTAGGTAGTTTAACCCACCAATTTGTCAGGAGGCGTAGATCCTTATCTAAGGCTTCCCTTACTGCTCCTTCCCCCAGGCCTCCAGGAAGGGAAATGGTTAGTTACTCTGGCCACTTCTAACTTCCTTGAGGAAAATAAATTTTTTTTCTATTTTTAAAATAATCTACATATACCACTGGGCACAAAAATTCGGAACTTTTAAAGAATTAGTGTGGGTTCAGAAGTAGAGGGAAAAACCTAAGTGAAGTGAGGTTTACTAGAATCGACTCTAGGCCTAGAGGCCCAGAACTGGTAGCCACATAAATAAAAACAAAATTTTATTTACTCATAGAGCCTAAAAGTTTTCACTGAATTTGATCACTGCCAGAATACTACTAATCAGATTTATTCACAATCTCTTCAAAATGCAAACATCTCTGGGGAGGTTAAAGTTTTATCTGACAATCACACATGCCAAAGTTCTTGAGAGGCAGTGCAGGCTTGGCAAAGGTGATGAGAGAAGCTGATCAGTCTGAGAACTCAAGAAGCCTGAGGCACGAAAAGAGATGTAGAAAAATGCCAAAAACAAAATGTATCTTGTTCAAAATTTCAGTTTAGTACTGGCTCTCTATACCCAGGAAAGGGAAGGAAACATCATTCTACTCTCTCAGGCAATACAGGTCATTTACTCCCAGGACCTAAAGCACGAGCAGTACCACACAACAAATGCATTATGGGTCCAGTGCTGTGGGCTGACCTATCTGAAAAACACTCAAGTCTCTGCTCTTAGAATGTGTATTCCTAACACATTTGTAATTCAGGGACTACATGTATTAACATGTATTAACAAGACTCAAGATTTAATGTGGTAGGATGCCTCGCTTGGTTTTGGATTGCTAAACAGGGTGGTCCAAAATACGAGATCTAAGTCTATGAGGACTAGTTAAATAAATCATTTTTTAAGACATCACACATTTTTAGCTCCCAAAAGAGAAGTCTGTTTGGGGGGGATAGAAGCCATCTTTGAGATTATACTTACAAGTGTGCTATGGGGCAAGCAGGTAAAAATTTCACAAGGAAAGATTTTAGCACAAAGAAATGAACAGCTTTTCAACATAGATGCTGCTGAAAGGACAGGATGAGAAGACAAACCAGACGAATTTTCATGCCCTACAAAACTGATCATT